TGTCTCGTAACGTGCGCTCCCGCCGAAACACCGCAACTAAATTGTTGTGAACAGTGTAAAATTCATAAACCTACCTGAGGGATGGGACTAGATCGACGAGCTGCGGTAGATTCTCCTTGAACAAATGTAAGAGTGCTGATATCGCGTAACAATACCCGATTGGATTTTCCTGTACGAATGAAACAGACATTACACATTGAGGCAATAACCTCATGACGATACCTTCTGCGATTGAATACCAATTGACAAGAAGTAGAGCACACCAAACGTACATCATTACTGGACGATTAGAAAGTGTGGACCGAAGAATCATGCTGAAAAAGTAAAAGCAAGCAGAAATAGTTAAACGAATTAACCAAGGTTAAACATTGGTCCGAAAAAAATGTCAACAATCTTCGAGATGAATGCATTCGAACTGTTACCAGGACATAGTGGCCAGTTCATCATCCTCATCATCATACAGCGGAATACAGTGAAAATAACTCCACGAATCGATACCACATTCACAACTTATACAAGGTAGAAGGGAATGTGTAAGGTGGATGATGATATGATCCATTTTAGGGAGAGGAAAAGAAAGTGAACCTCCATGGTCAACACAGTACACCTATGGGTTACTCCGTGGTTGTTGAGTGCCACTGACTGTATGTGCGAAATGAGTACCATATATATAGTTAAACATTTCACACACGTCTGACGCCAGACTGTGCCAAACAAATCACAGTATAGAAATCTTTATAAAAAAGAAAAAACCGTTTCACGATTGCCATGTGGGCCGAATACTGCCAGGTTACCCAGGACAAGGCAGGTTAATTTTCTTCAGAAGTCCACAACCGGAGANCAACCGGAGACTTTGGCTAGCCAAAGCCTGGCCCTTAAGTCAGCGGAGTGGTGTGTTTAGATGACAACCCATTGGCGGCCGGTGTACAGTTCATCGAGTCATACGCCAGAAGACCACCGGTAGAGTGATGGGATCGGAAACCATATTGACGGCCGCTAAACATCTTGTTCTGCTCCATGTGGCGGCGGAGTTGATCAGCAATGACTGATTCCATAAAATTTGAAATAATTGACGTGAGAAAGATGGGGTGGTAGCTGTTTGGGTCTGATTGGTAGCCGCGTTTGGGGATGGGAACTATTGCTGATATTTTCCATGAGGTTGGGAATACCCAAGAATCGAGTGATAAAGAGAATAAGCGGCGTAGCAGAGAGACCAGTTCTGGGGTGCATATTTTAAGGACAATAGAAGGAATCCCGTCGGGTGCAGGTGGCTTGTTTGAGTCCAGTGATAAGAGCATCTGACGTATCTTTCTGGTGGAAATGAGTGGTATGAAAAGATGATTCACTATAGGGTATGTGGAGGGTTGAATAGGTGATTCGAGTAGGGTAGACTCGGAAGAAAAACGGAGGGGGGGCAAACAATTCAGCTTTATCAAACGGTTGGAACACCAAGCCGCCAGGTGGTTTAACAATTGGTTGAAAGTTAGTGGAGGAGGAAGTTCGGGAGACTACTTTAGAAAGTGACCAGGAGGTCCGGCTTCCAGGGACAGTTGTTAACGGTGCTGATTTGTGCTCGACAAAGTGCTCCATAGTTTTCTGTGTGATGGTTGTATAGTCGTTGCGTGCTTGCGAGAAGCATCGGTGGGAGCGGGAGAAAGGTGAACGATGTCAGCGGCAGAACACTTACTTTTCTTTACGAACATCGCGACAACAGGTGGTTGAATCATTCTGAAGAAAGGTTGTCGAGTTTAGTGAAATGAGGAAGAAATAGATGCATGCCTTACAAACGAAGCTTGGAAAATTTCGGAGCCGAGATGGAGACATCGACGGCAGAGCAACAGTCATTCCAGAGATAAGGAGCCAGAAAGTTAGGAAAGCTGTGCAAGTCAGTGGAACCTTAGAGCCAGAATGTCTTCAGCCTTTAGTATTGAGGGCAGGATACCCGTGTAAGGCCCGTCACCATTGAGTCGAAGGTATGATCACATATGGTCATCCCTTGGTAGTCCTTTTAGGTATTCATCCAGAAGCTTCCTGAAAGCAACATTGGTCTTCTCCTCCACCACAGTCGCTGGAAGGGAATTCCAGAGCGTTGTTAACCTCAAAAAGAGTCGGTAGACTAACGAAATACCGACCGACTCAAAGTGAGAGAGTGTGCGCGTTCCTCTGTTTGTAGTGCTGCAACTCCGGGTCCATATCACTCCTCAGGATCTTCCTCAGGCAGATCAAATCTCCTCTCATGCGTCGATACGCAACTGGGAATAGACCACTAACCTGTAGACGACCTTCATAGCCGGTCCCAAGTAGTCCAACAACAAGTCTAGTGGCAGCACGTTGTACACGCTCTAACTTGACCAGCTCACCGACCGTGCAGGGGTGTCGCAGTGCTACCATACTCACGTCTCGGTCTGACGTGGGAAGATTACGGCAGTCTAAGAGCGAGTCAGTCAGTCAGTTTGCACAGGACAGGAGATGACCACGGCCAATCGAGCGTCCAGATTTCCTCCGGTAGTAAGCCCCGT